CTTTACAACCATTCATCTGTTTTCCATCTCTACAATTTTATCATTTTGAGAATGTTACATAAGTGGAATCATATAGTATGTGACCTTTTGAGATTGGCGCTTTTTTCACTCGGCATAATACCCTTGAGATCCATCCAAGTTATTACATAATCTATAGTTCATTCTTTTTTCTTGTTAAATAGTATTTAATGGTATGGATAATTTTTTCCACTGCTTTTCAAATTTCCTTCTGAATATGATATATTTTAATTTTTAGAAAAAACACTGGTGGGGGAGCAATGCAGAGAGAAGCAGTTCATGCCTTCAAGGAACTTTCGTGTTGATTTATATAATAGAATTTTAGGCTTGGAGTGCCCTCAGCAGGCACCTAGATAAGTTCCTCATATTGCAGGAGTCCTCCTTGCAATATCCTGAAAGGTGGTTGTGCAGCCTCTGTGTGGATACTCTCAGTGACAGGGAACTTACTACCAAACAAAGGATCTTGTTAAATTGATATAAAATATGCCTTTCTTCCTGGGGCTCCGGTACGACTGAGAGAAGATCTTCTGCCATATGTTATTTTTACCCTGCCTGGAGCCTCTTCCCTGTCCCCCTAACTAGATAATACAAGCCCAAGACAGCGAGAAAAGCCTACGTGAGCTTGGGCAAGCTGTAGGATATAGGAGATCTAGGACTGGCCTCTCTAGGGAGCTTTTGGCATCCACTGGCTCAGAAAAACAGGGGCTGCAGACATTTTCAAGTGGAATGAAATTCTGCATGAACACACACAGAGAGATATCCACATTCCCCAAAGAAAAGCCTCCTTTCCGCATGGTAGTAATGCCCTTCAGAAGGCACTGAACCACTAACTTAAGAGGGAAAATCTTAGATTCTCTCCTTCTTCTGGTCCTCTGTATCAGACCTGAGATCTCTTCCTTTTCCTCCAGCCTTCCTCGAAGGCAGACTCTGATCTGTCCATGGTTCTGATTGTTAATGAATTGTACTTGGGGGCTCAGCACGGCTTCTTTCATTCATTCCTTCGCGAAAGCTAATATTTTTTGAGCATTTACTATGTGTCAGAGACTGTGATAGGTTCCTTACATTCATTCACCCTCTTTATATTGAAGTATATCAAACATAACAGAAAAGAGCACGGATAATAAGAACACAACTCAGTGAATTGTCATATAGTGAATATATTTACGTAATCACTACAGAGATCAAGAAATCAAACGTTATCAGAACACCAGAAGGTCTTTTGTGGCCCCTTCTAGGTGAGGTGCTGTCCTCCAATTGTAACCACAACCTTGACTTTTTATTTATTTGTTTATTTATTTTAGAGTCAAAAGGAAAGTTCATTAGAAAAGGAGTAACATAACACTCCACAGACAGAGTGTGGTCTCCTCTCAGAGGCAGAGAGTGAGAAAGACAGTGAGAAGGACCACAACCTTGACTTTTAACAGAGTAGATTAGTTTTTTTTGTTTGTTTGTTTTGTTTTTTGCTTTTAAACTTTATATAAATGAATCATACAAATTGTCTCCTCTTTTGTGTCTGGTGTCTACAGCCCGATATTATGTTTGTGAAATGTATTCATATTGCTCCGGATGGTTGTGGTTTGTTCATTCTCTTTGCCATGTAGCATTACCTTGTGTAACATATTCTACAATTTATTCATTTTACTATTGATGGGACATTTGGTTTGCTTCCAGTTTTCTACGTTTATAAATATTGCTGATATAAACATTCCTGTTCATGTCTTATGGTGAATATGTGCCTTTCTATTAATATGTTATATATTATATATATACTATATACTGATATGTAAACACATACACACGTATACATACGGTGGATTATGGATGGGTACATTTTTTCAATTCCCATTTTCAGAAGAGAAAACTGAGGCTTGAAAATTGAGTCAGGAGATAGCAGAGCTGGGACCCAATCCTGTCTGGCACTGGAGCTCAAACTCCCTAACCATCATGCTTTACCGCCTCCCAATACATGGGCTGTTTAAAAGTACTCGTGATGTGCCAGACTGGCTGCTGCCATTGAGGGAAATAAGAAGGTACAGTCACAGAGGAAGGAAAATAATAGATGCTGTTGAAAAGCACACGGGTATGATGAGGAGGTCCGTTTTATCTTGAAAGATCCCTGGAGGCTTCCTGGAGGAAGAAGTATTTGAAGAGAAAAGATGGGGGCGAATTCTTGGTGTGCAGGAGTAATAGGGGAAGGAGTACCAGGCTGAGAGTTCTGGGGGTACAGGAAGAAGAAGCCTCATAGAGACACAACTGCAAGGGCCCTCATAGGTCATCTCGTCCAGTCCCCACTGTCCACCCACCTATATCTGCACTGCTGGTTTCCAAATTTATATACCCAGTCTTGACCATTTCCCTGATCTCCAAACTCTTTTTTATCTAGTTGGACAACAAATAGGTCTCTTAAATTTAACATGGCCAAAACAAGGTTCCTGATCTCCCCCTCCCCACCCACAAACTCCAAACTGCTCTGTTCCCAATCTTTCTTGGTCTTTGGCACTGCCAACCACCAATTGCTCAGGCCCCAAATCAAGCATCATTTTTTCTTCCTCCCTTTCCCCACATCCAATCCATGAGCACATCCCATCAGTTCTACCTGTAAAGCACACCTTGAATATGACCTCTTCTTATCGACTCCCTGTTTCCCCGCTAGTCGTGGCCACCACCATCGCTCACCTGGATGACTGCAGCAACCTCCTCACTGCTCTTTCTGCTTCCATGCTCCTCCTGAGGCCACAAGAGAGGTGACTTCTTTGCCTCTTCCAGCTTCACGTGGCTCCAGATATTGCTTGCCTTACCGCTGCCTAACTCCAATCTCTGCTTCTGTCTTCATATGGCCTTCTCCTCTGCGTCTTCTCTTCCTATTATTGGTGACCTCTTTTGATGGGTGACTGGATTTAGAGCCCACCTGGATAATCCAGGCTGATCTCAGCTCGAGATCCTTAATTATATCTGCACAGATGCTTTTTCCGAAGAAGGTCCCATTCACAGGTTCTGTGTGGATCTATCTTTTAGGAAGCCACCATTCAACCCACTACGGAAGTGAATACCAGTGGGGAAAAAAAAAGCTTAATGAGTTGAAATTAAGTTTAAACTTTAGTCCTCCAGTGAGTGATTACTTTTTAAAGCGTGGCAGACATTTGGATTGCGCATACTGCCTATGTCAGCCCTGACTGTCTAGGCAAAGGTCATTCTGAGGAGGGAGCGTCTGCATTATGCTTGCTGCAAAGCTAGTTTGAGGCTGCGGAGTCTGTAGTCGGGAGCCTTGCTGCAGCCCCAAACCCGCCAGATCCTCTCTGCTCACTGCTGGGGCCATCCCCACTGCTGGAAAAGGGAAAAAATCATTTCCTTCTGAAAAATGCCACCAGTCCTGAGAAAGCCAACTGCTAGTGCTGATGGCGAAAGGAAAGGAAAAAAAAGACCCAAGAAAACCCCTCCCTCCTGGTTTCTGTGTCCTGTGTAGCCTTCTCCCTTCAAGTATGGGCTGGATCTAGTGACTTGCCTCTACTGAATAAAATATAGTAAAAATGACAGGATGTCATTTCTGAAATTAGGCTACAAAAAGACTGGTTTCTGTATTGCTCACATTTTCTCGCTCCCTAGCTTACTCACTCTGCAGAAAGCCAACTGCCGTGTCCAGCTCCCCTGTGGAGAGGCCCACGTGACAAGGAACGAGCATCTCCAGCGTACAAGAACCTGAGGTCCTCAGTCCAACAGCCCTCAAGGAGCAAAATCCTGCCAAAAACCTAGTGAGAAAGCTTGGAAGCGGACCTTCTGAGGCCAGCAGGTGGTCCTAGGAGTGAGCTCGGAAGCAGGTCCCCCCAGCTGAGCCCTCGGGTGGCTGCAGCCCTGGCCAACACTTTGATTGGAGCTGAGAGATACCCTGAGCCTGAGACACCCAGCTGAGCCATGCCCAGATTCCTGCCCCATAGAAACAGGGGCAGGATAAATGTTTGTTGTTTAAGCCACTATGTTTTGGACTCATTTGTTATGTAGCAATGGAAACACTCAGATATAGATTGCTGGGATCTATTCGACCATGCGGAAGGCTCATGCTATAGTGGTGGCTATATTTACAAATTGGGGCTTCACAGATATTAGCATATGTCCCTTCTCAAGAATCTACATCTCGTCCCACTTCTTTGGCTCTGTTTATACTTTTAAACAAGCAGAATATCAAACTATAGTGGACAGTTGTACATTCTAGTTTTTCTGTTTAATACGTCACCTTATTAAATATTCTTCAAAGCATTCCTCAATAGTCGTCACATGAGTGTCACAGTGTTAATTTAGTCACTCCCCCTCTGGTTTGCTTTGAACTTAAGGTAGAGTTTTACCTTCTTGAGTGATGGCCCATCAGGGCTAGTAGGATGCAGGAGGCAGGATGGCCTGTGGCTAAGTGCTCCTGCTGTGGTATCAAGTCTACCCATTTTCTAGCTTGGGCTTGTTGCTTAACACCCTGGGCCTCAGTTTCCTCTTCTGAATAGTGAGGATAATAACCATACCCACTTTACGGTGTTTAGAGGCATCATTGAGTTAACTCAAGTAAAACACAGCACAGAGCTTGATAAATTTCAAGATATACAGACCATGCTATCTCATCCCGCTGTTGGGTCAGGTCCATGGTGCCTTAAATCAACTCTTGGTGCAGATTCCAACCGCCATCTAAGTGACATCTAAGCTTCCCTCCCCAAAGTCCGCTCTCCCTGAAGCTGCTGGTGACCCCAGCTGTGCTGCCACCACAATCCTGTGACCAGCACACCTACTCGTGCTGTGTCCCCCTAGGCAGGTCCATCCCCTCTCTGGGCCTCTGTTTCCTTATCTGCAGTATGGGACGGGGGCGGACGGGGACGGTTAGATTAGAAGGCTCATGAGGGAGAGCCCACCTCAAAGATTCTAGACTCTTCTGTCTTCTTTCAAAGGCCCTTTGGTTTCAACAGTACAGGGTACAAACAGCTTTAAACAACTAGCCGAAGCAAAAAGAATCGGAAAACACTTTAATTTATTTACCACAGCATGTACGTGGAGACTTGCACTCGGCTTCTTAGAGTATATCAAATACTGGCTCAGTGTCTGCTTACACGTGTGTGAAAAATCTAGGCATCTTTTCATCTTGGGCCCTTTACAGTGCTTGTCCTGGATCTGAGTGACAGCCTCGCACTTGGAGCAGACACTGGGGCTGAGCTCCTGCCTGGTCCCGGGCTCCTGCTCTTCCAGGCGCCATCAGACCAAAAAGTAAGGAGGGTCGCTGATCAGAGGGCCCAAGGGCAATCAGGACAGGAGTAGGGGTGCTGCATAGGGATTGGGGTGGCACTGGAGAAGACACGGGTCTCACTGCTGCCAGGTTCAGGTTTAGCTCTTGCTTTACCGTAACCTTGCACCTGGCTTTTCACTCTTTCTTTCCTCTGGTCTTTTTGTGCACTGAAGTGAATGGCCCTCAAGTCCCCCATGGCCGTAGGGGAAGGCAGGGTGCTGTTTGGGAATAGCCCAGAGAGCTGACCTGCAGAATCTCCCCAGGTCTTCATATGGCTATAGGCATCTCACCTATAGAAATCCCAGGGGAGACTGTTCCAGGCTTCTCCCCAGTTCCCACCCACAGGTTCAGTTCCTGGAACTGAAAACACTGCTAGGAAAAGAGTCGACTCGCCTCCGGGCTCCGGCTCGGCCTCTCCCTATCCAAGCTTGGACTCTGGACCTTCCTTAGTCAGGGCGAGGTTTCAGGAACTGCAGAGCTCTGTGGCTCTGGGAATCACAAAGCTGAAGGGAGAATCTCTCCCCACGCCCGGCACTTACACCCCTCACATCAGCATTCAGTTTCTAGGACTTCAGCCCCTGAGATGCCTGGGCCAGGATCCTACCAAGAGAAGGAGGAGCAGATGGTGGCGTTTCTGGTTCCAAGAAAGGCTGTGTGACCTTGGACAAGCCCCTTGGCTTCTCTGAGCCTCTGTCTCTTTTTTTCTGAAAAAGTGGAGTGATAATATGGATTTTGCGGGATGATCATAAAGTTGAAATAAGACAATGGTGGTGACAGAGCCTGGTAGAGTGATAGGCATACAGCGATGGCTTCTTTTCCCTGATGAAATACTGGGCCAGCTGGTCAGCCAAGAAGGGCAGCCTCTTGTGGCAATGGAGGAGATGCTTGTGTGATGAGGCTGCTTCCTGAGCCCAAGGAAGGGGCCAGCCCAGCTCCGGTGGGCTGGGTTAGAAGTCGAACAGAGAGCAGTGGGGAGGCCAGCGGTGGGTGGGAGCTGAGATCCACACCCAGCCCTTGCAGATCTGCCACTGAGAAAGCAGGTTTGTGCTCCCTGTCCTGCAGATCAGTCAGCTCCAGAGCAGCCGACAGACTGTGGGGTGAGGACGCCAGCTTCTCCCTGGTGGGGTGCTCCGACCCAAGGGGCTGTGAAGGGGAAGGTTGGGCTGAGGGGTTAGGGAGAAGGGCATTGAGCTTGGAGGACGGTGTCAGCCTCAGCAGTCTGGAGCCAGAGGGCAAGGCAGATTGGACAAGGCTGGGGGACAGTTGGGCAGGAAGTACAGTGGCTGCAGTAGGGCCAAGGGACAATGAGCACAGAGGGGACAGGAGAAGGCCAGTAGAGTCATGAGGCTGTGGATCTGAAGAGAGCTGCTGAGCTGAGGGCATGGAGACTGGGGTCTTAGACAGGCCTGGTTGTTCCTGGCAGCCCTGTTGTCCGTGGGGCAAGGGTTCCAGGGGCTGCCCGGCCTGGCCCCAGCAGCCAGAGGGCAAAGGAGCCAAGCAGGAGGCATAGTCCATCAGGCAGAGGCGCTCATGCATGTGCAGCGTCTGACTCCACCAAGCCAGCTCAGCCCGCAGATCCTCGATCTCCTTCCGCAAGGCATGGTTGTGTTTCTCCAGCAACTCGTGCTGCTGGAGGAAGAAGCAGATGGGCAGGGAGGGGGGTGTCAGCCAGCACCAGAAGCTCAGCATGAGCCCTGTTCCCTCCCAACCCCACCCCACCCCTCAGGGTCCTCAATTTAGGGGAAAGATACCACCGCCGTGCGAATGTCCAAGCTGGGGGCCCTCGGCTACTTTCTTGCCAGCCACCTATGACCACTACCAAGTCTCCCCCATTCTCCTTCCTATTGGAGCTCAGATGCTCCTGCTCTCTACCCTCAATTCTCTGAGCTGGTGGTGGCTACTGGCCTGCGATCTCCACCCACCTGGGAGCTCCACCAGCCTCCCAACGGGGTGCTCCCACCCCAAAGCACCCTGTTCTCTTGGAGGAACCTTTGGGAAACTGTGTCATTAACGGAACATTAAAGCCTTTTAAAGGCTCCCACACTCCCTGCACGAGGTGACCCCGGCTCACACCTGCAGTGTTCTCTCTCCGACCTGTCCTGCTCCACCCACTTCCTGTCCCTCACATGGTCTCTTGAAACATTTCCTGTCTCTTCTGCCTGGACACTCTTCCAGCAACTCCCTCCCCTGGGCTAGTCTCGACATGGACTTCTCATGGCAACTTAGATGTCTTGTTATCCTGGACACCTCTACGCTGCTTGGTGCCCTGCCAGACCTCCCCAGCACCCAGCACGTGCTCACTGAGGCACTGTCAGAGGAGCCCAGGTCCTGTTCTGCAGGTTGGCAACACAGGTATGCTCTTTTCAGTGTCCCTGGGTCAACATTTAGTTG